GTCTGATCTAGAGCTGGGTATCGCGTCGATTTGGATGGCTGAGCCACTCGATCCCCCGACATCGATNTGATCTGCAAATGTCTAAATCTTTCGGATTATGAATGTTATAGGATATACTTACAATCCGGCTTAAGCGGCATATGTGGAAGGAAAGAGGAGAAGAAAGGAGAATAATACGCAACGCACGTGACGGTGATGTTCTATCCCCACGCGTAGTGTTGCCGCAAAGTAAAGTGCTTTAAGCACTAAAGTGCCTTTAAAGGACTTTATGCCCATATTGGGCGCTTTAAGGTACTTTAAGGCAAGGCTGTGTTTTTGGGCAACGCCGCCTCACGCCGGCATTGTCAAATCTTGGCCGGTTGTCAGCATGCACGATGTGCGCGAACTCACCAACGTCCGTCGCGCGCACGAGCGTTTACGTTTCTCCCTCATCTGCTTCACGCGACGTGCAAGCGCAAACCTCGGGGCTGAGGCGTGTAAATCAGCTTGTACAAAACCTCTCAGCGGAATCGATCGCGCAAGGTCCCAACAATGGCGCCGCTCCCCTCACCAGTTCTACATCGTGAAGCGGACAAAAAGGTTGTCTTCGCGAAAAGTAGTCCAATGACCTGATCTTTCTGAAGAAGGTGAAAACAAATGCGAGAGCAGGCTTTCTCTGTTATCCTCGAGGGGATGAGCTCTGACCAGAGAATTTCTGACCTTGACCAGCTTACTGATTCCTGTTTTACTTAGCCAGAACTTGCATCCACTTAATATTATTATGTTCTACTATAAGTACACAGTTTGTGCTTATCTGCTGAGGGAGCAGCGAGCCTCCGTCACGACAAGAAGGCTGTGGACCGTCGACCGAAAGCGGAAATCACTTTAAAGCAACTTTAGCTTTAAAATCGGAAATAGCCGACTTTAAAGCACTTTGAACTTTGCTTTGCGGCAACACTACCCACGCGGCCAAGTTATCCAGGCTTTTATTGTCCGACGTAAACGTACGCAGACGAGACCTGCAGACGATCTTTCAAATCCGGGTGGAATTTAGACCGAAGAATTCCAAAAATGCTTGTTCCCGAATATACATGAGTGTCATGATGTCTCAAGAACCAACGCACGCACCACATCCCGCCGGGAAAACCCAGCGGAGTTCAAAGTTTAGCCACGCATTTCTTCACCATCACCACCACACCCTTGGACACAAAGACGATGGCAACTTACTGGCCCCAGTGGCTTACCCAGCCTTTTGTATCTGCCAATCAACCTCAATTCGCCCACGATGTAAGCGCCTACTATAACCCATACACTCGACTCCTTTACCGTCTTTTCAACGGCACACTAGAAGGTCCTTTCGAAATCTCTCCTCGGTTTTACATCCATGACTCGATTGATGTTGTTGCTTTGTTCGTCGTGGAGCTGAACAATCATCCCGTGTGATTTATCGAAGTTAAACCACCAGGATCCTTTATCTTGGACTCTAAACGCAAGGAGGCGGATGATCATATGCGTGACCACTTCCGCACTCTTTGCAATAGCGTTATTACGCCTAGGCTTCACGGTATTAGTGCATTTGGAACTCGTCTGGCTTTTTATGAATACGTATCCGCAACCACACGGGTCACTCCGCCTGGGATTGCACCTGATCCAGAATACATCAACGACATGGCTCCCGCTGAACGATGGACCCACGACCTCCTTGATCTCAGCGGTGCGGCTCAAATCCTCGAGGTTGTCCGGGACGTTTTGACTATGTGTGAGGATGGTGAGCAATTGAAACTCGTGATTAGCGTGAGCATCGAATTGATGCCCATTGCCTATGCGTTGATACAGGCATCGACTCTGTAGGGTGGAACAAGAACACGCAACAATCGGACAAGGCAATTTCATGAATGGACGTTGCAGGGTGTACAATACAAAGTATTGCGGGATACGCACGCGTAAAATAGCACATCTCTGCCGGTGGGGAGGTTGAAACGCCAACCATCTATCTTGTCCCATCCTCATCTCACGCGTCAATGAAACCCAAATGACACCTTATTCATCATCACACAAGCCTATCGTACGTGATGGACATATTCCGGTAATTTGAGGGTATTTCAGGCGTAGCGTCACTCGCCTTTATAACTTTGTGCTAGACGACTAGTGGTTTGAGGAGGGACTTCTGAGCTTGAAGTGATATCAACACAATGGCCAGGACACGCGTCATTTGGGCGTCTGTTCATAGACGTTTGAGCGCCTAAGGAATTTAGAAATGGTCCGCCATCGGGCCGTAATGACATTGGCTGTGTTGGTGAATGCTGGCACCCAAGGCGATGCACCAGTCGACTCTTCTCATAAAAGCCATAGGTCGGTGGCGAACGCAATGCTTCCCAACCCCAAGAAGGTACTTATGGAATGATCACTTTCTGAGTCCACGCTGACGATTATTATCACAGAACAACTCCAATCTTCATTCGGCATGTTACTCAAAATGCAGCCGCCCAGCTCGGATCCGATCCCTCTTGACGTCGTTTCGGAGATCCTCGACCACGTCGATTACAGAACCTTGAAAACCTGCGCATTTCTCTCAGCATCTATCCTCCCTCTCTGTCACGATCGCCTTTTTCGAAAAATCGATCTGACCTACATCACGACAATCAGATCATACCTCAAGCTTTATGCGGTCCTTCACCAGCGCCCGAAGATCTCCCAATACGTGAAATCTCTTCACATTCACACTGGCAATATTCACGGTTACCTGGGCTTTCCATGTGACGACCCCATTTTGTTCAATACGTTTTCTGCTGCGACAAATCTTAAACACCTTTTCGTCAATATTTCCGCCCTTGAAGCTTACCAATGGCATTCTCATGCCACAGTGGCTCTACTTTCTAGCCTTCTCTCATTGCCTGGGGTTACGTCCGTCACATTTTCTGGATGGCATGGTGGAACCCAAATTCCACACATTCCGATTTCTCTACTCGAAGTTCCGGTATCTCTAACGAGCCTTACCTTAGAAAGACTTGAATTATGGGGATGTTTGCATACCAACGAAGGCCATTTGAGGGGGAAGCCCGTCAGACCGTCTTCTATCTCCATCATCGGATGTAGCAATTTCACTTTGAAGCAGCTCTTCCAGTTATCGACAGACCCACACTCGCCGTTGGACCTCTCATCTTTGAAGAAGATGACTGTTTCTCCGGAGTCAAACTCCCACTATGACGATAAAATTACTGAGGATTTTTTTCGCCACGTATTTTATTCTCTTGAGCATCTCACTTGGAAGATTTCTTATTGTATGTTTTCCTCCATTCGTTTAATGGAGACTTTGAAATGATTAATAAATCTATAGGGTCTGGCACAAACTGTGGATATCTTGAACATGTTGACAGCCGTCATCTTATCCACCTTCGGGAGTTTAATATTGGAACTTCGTTCGCTCAGCATCCTGCAATGACGAAGGATTTGGTTTCTGCACTTTCCGTGTTCATCGGGCATATCCCAGAAACAACCTCATTCGAAAAGTTCAGTTGGTATCACCACGTCAATGATCGTTCATGGGATCGTGTCGATGAGCTGGAAAACTGGGCTCTTGATGAGTGGAAAGAGATGAGTAGAATTGTCTCCCTCCCAAGGATGGAGTACGTCAAAATGAACGTAGAGATCAATTTTTCGTACATGGATAGGAACACTGTGCTGGAGTTCGAACGGAAGGTACGCGACCTCCTTTCAAATGAAGGCCGCCTATCACACCAGATTACGTTGAATACTTCCACAAACTCTCGCTCGTATTCCCGTTCCCTCCTTACAATTAGTGCAGACCAGCGAACAGAAAACGGGTCGATGGAAGGACAAGCTCAGATGGAAAGGGAATCTGTAGGGGAACAAACGAGGGTTAAGTGGTCCGTTACTAAACGGCTCAAGCGATTTTTTCTTTCTTCCTCTCTTTTCAGAAAGAAAGGTCCTAGGTAGATTTCAAAAATCTTACAATTCTCGAAATTAGACGATTTATGAATCTGATTGTCCTAGCGGAGAAAGTGAGTCAAGGATTCTCTATGGGACGTGTTTATTGACTGTGATTCACAATGTTCATGATCGCTAGTCCAGTCAATGCACTCGGTTATCTTCGTCTTTCGGTAAAGGGCCTGAAAGTATAATTTTTAGAAGGGGAAACAGAAAGTCAAAGCAGTTTCCGCACCTTTTTTCAAGATGTAGGGGGACACGGGCGGTGTCTGACCCTCGAGGCTGACAACATTCGTCGAGTTTCCCACCATTGTAAAAGCCTGAGGCTTGGTGAGGTTCAAATGAAAAGATTGCAGGAATGGCATTTCACCTGGCAGTGGTCGCTCTGCCATCGCAAAACAGTCACGATCGCACAGATACCTATCTCAGGCATAGATGTATTTGATTCTGGCGACCTGACGAAGCACGTCTAAATTTTCTTGAGAGCCAATAGTGTTACCAAGTTTGACGAAGAGAGCTCGCTTCCCGATTGAGTAGGTTGCTTGATTCGAGGACACTGTCCCAGAACCCGTAATGTCGAAATTAACCGAATACTCTAGGATGACCTCTTGCCACCTCGGGTAGACCTAAGAAATCACTTTGAGCTGCCGCGATTTACAAGATCAAGACTCCCCTTTGTTCAAGAACAATCTGGAAAGGACTTCGTGCCAATTACGACGTGCAGACACTGCTTGGACACCGTACTGCAGAGGCAGAGGTGCCACTGCCAGTCAGGTTATTGTTGAGTTTTTCGTTGATATTCCGGACTTGTTTTAGAAAAGTGACGGTACGATTTTACGATGTCTCGATACCTGGAAGCTTGGTGAGCCATTGATGATTGAAGAGGCAAAGCGAAATCATGATGAGATGCAATGCAGCTGCATGTTTGGTTTTTCAAGCGAATCCAAACAGACCGTTTTTTCTGATCCGCAATCCACCAACAATCTAGACGATCCGAGACCCGAGTTCAAACTGCGTAAAGCGCAATCTCAGTTCAAATCTATGCAAAAGTACGGGAAGCATAGAGAGAAGGAGAAGGTTGCACGCCGAATGTAGCAGCTTGCGTCTCCGACAGCACCGACCAATATGCTAAGGCGTAATCTGTAGTTGTTGCCGTGGACAGAGATTTTGACAAGTGGAGTGTTAACACTGTTGAGACCCAAGGTATATCAGTGAGTACACTATCAACGATGTGGAGACGACTTAGGCCGTTCCTGAAACTCACCGGCCGTAACCCAGGTATTCCATGGACTGCTCAAATCATTCACGTCATCACACAGCTCTGTCACTATCCCGAACTGATACACACCATCACATGAAACTACACAGCTGCATTTGACCCCAGTCCTCTCCAACCAACCCATAAATCAGACAACCAAAAGATCAAGGTGAGTACGTCTTTTGACGCCATGCAACAAAACACGGCATTCAAGTTCATTCCAGGGTAGTGCGAGTCTTTGCTACCACAATACGAATTGGGAATTACGGTTCCCGTGCCATCCTTCATGCAGGACGACAGGGTCTATGTTTTTCTGGTCATTGTTATCCGAGCTACAAGCACCTTTTCCGAGTTATAGGAGGACATTTCTGCTTCTCTCTTGGTCGTCGAAGTCATAATCCCAACGGCTCCGCGACGTAGACCAGTGCGGATCAAGAATGTGCGCTTTCGACACTTCGTTTGCTGCCCTGTTTAGCATGCCATGTCAAGCTCGTCATTTTTGAATCGACGAGGAGGCTGAGGTGTTGACGTCATCACAAAATCCGAATCATCGTTTGGAATATCATGTAGAAGATTCACCACAGCCGTTCTGGCCATTGGACGTTGAACCTGATTCGCTAGCCCTCCCTTTCGTTCTCCGGAATTCGGATCATATAACGCTTATTTCCATTGTCCACAGCCAAGGCGGGGAGTGGCCACACTCCGTGGCCCCGATGTGGCTGCTTCAACAAAGTCACGTTACCAACTTGCATGGCCATCAATATATTATATAAATTCAACCAATCTCTTCCGCCAATTTGTGGCATCTTTCCTTCATCCATCTCATTCCCCGCGCAGTGCGCCCCTGGTCTCTCTACCCTGCCTCCCCAGATTTTGCTACGCACCCATTGATTCGATTCTCATTTGACGCGCTTTTGAGTCATGGCAGGCGATGGCTTGGTGGAGAGACCACGCAGAGGACATCCGAACGCGGCTCCAAGGTACCGACTTTTTGTTCAGAATCCTGTCTCCTCTCACATCTTTCCGTCAGCGAAGCAGATGCAAGGAGTCGGACCGACAAGGCGGCGAACTTTTGGAAACTCTTTTCCTTGGGTCAGGAGTCAGTGCTTCGCCCTCTATGTCCCGTGAAATGCCACTCACCGTCATCAATAGTATAACAGGAATCACGGGTGGCAATTTCTCAGAGGGACAAGCCGTCGCAGGAACGACGGTCAACAGTACAACCCACTCCTTCCCGGGCGCGGACAACGCTACTTTCATTCCCCATCACTCGTTACATATTTATGATTTCAATGCATCGGAAACCTCACCCTCTCAATCAAGTGCTTGCACTGAAGATTTCCCCACTGTTGTGCAACAGGTGGCGTCCTCGTCCGAAGACCAGTACGTTTTTATCGACGAGGAGCCGCCCTCGCCACACGAGGGTGATACTGACAGTGACAGCCTTGCTACCTCGCTCGACTTCTCCCAGTATATTACCTTCAACCCATTCTTTGATGACCCGATTACCCCCCCTACCGTCAAAACTCCGGAAGCTCTGCCGACCCGTCGTCGTGTGCCTTTGACGCCCACGCAACCATCGGAATCACCTCAGCATAGGAACGAAGCGCCAAACCTCCAGCGAGAGGAGGTTTACTTTCCATCTCCAGGCGCTGTTCTTTTCACCAATTATACACAAACCTATGGCTCGAATGTCCATAACACGCTTGAGCCTCCACGACTCATGCCACCTAATGTTCCGAGGCTTCAGGCTTCACCGCCCTCTTCCAGCTTCACGTTCAGCATGGCGCGTGGTGGAGGTCCTGTGACCTACTCCAACTCACGACTTGTGGAAGACCACGACTCGTTCCTACTCCCTGCGTCCACGTTCGAGTCCACTAATCAGGCCGCGTACGACGACTCATTCCCACTCCCCGCGTCCACGTCCGAGTCCACTAATCAGGCCACGTACCACGACTTTTCAGTGGTTCCCGTATTCATGCCCGTACCAGGCGGCGGCCATGTGGAGTACCTAGATTCGTTCCCACAGCCCGCATCCACGTCGACAAATGAAGCGACGCGATACGACGTCGAACAAGACATCTTACCGGCCCCACGACCCATGATACCCTACAGTGTGTTAAATGTTCACACCATACCCCCTTCCTCTGCATTCACCTTCCGGATGGCGCCTGACGGAAGCTTCGTAATGCCCAACTTCTCCAATTCAGGTCAATTCCCCCAATCCACATGGAGTCGAGAAACGCGTGACGACATCGAAAAATATAACCTCGCTCTATTCGGTCAAACATGGTCCCCACGAATTTATTGCCGCTGGGGAGGCCAATGTTTTGAGATGCTTGAACATTCGGAGGAGGCGATTCAGGAACACATCAAAAGCCAGCACAACGTCAACCTCAAAGGCAATCACAGCTTGCTTTGCCTGTGGGATGGGACGTGCAAAGCACGAGTGAGAGGCGTATCGGCAAGCGAGATGGCTCGCCACATCGACACCACAGATGGTCACCCCATGTCGCTTGTTGCATCTGACTTTACGGGTTGGGCAAAGCGTGTAAACGCGTGCACATTGTGTTCGAAGGCATTTCCCCGCTTAGATTCGCTCAATAGGCATTTGAAGGCGAATCATGGCGTGTACCCTGAGGTAAAGAAGCCCAAGAAACAGACGCTTGCTGGCAAGCCTCGAAAGACCCATCGTAGAACCGCCTGAGTTCGATGCTCCTACACGTCTATTATTACTAAGGTAAGTTTTGTCTAATTATTGTATGATATCGCCAGCATCACCGCTACCACCGTCATTATATCTACGCATCATTCATCCTGTAGCCATCGTCATCATTTATACAGATCACTGTCATTTATACCAATCACTGTCATCTATACCAATCACCGTCATTATGTAGAATCCTTGTTATAGCATCGAATTATTCTCATTATCGGTCAATCTTTTTCGAATCATGTTCAGGTTGAAGCTCATCATCAAGGTAGCGGCCAGTGGATGCGCCCTTGTCGCTTCAATGCTGACCATTTGGAATTGATTTTTACTTGGGAAGGCCCTTTCTTTTGCGCAGAGGAGGGAATTGATCCTCGACGTCCATTTCTGGCTGACTTTTGAGTCAGAGTACTCGAGTCTTGAGCTCTTTATTGCCGCGATAGTCAGTCAGAGCTTCGATATCGATCCGAAATCGTAACCGCCAAAGCTCTCCAAACCCGGCGTCTGAAATTAACGTACCCGCTAGACTGCCGTCCATGAAGCAAAAATTGACCCCGACGTCGAGAAATAAGCCCAATATTTTTAAATTTCGCAAACGCAAGTAGGTGAATATCCCTCGGGACAGGATCAGGCGCCTCAAGAATAAAAAATGCCGACTTTGATGAAAGTGTTCATGATTCATACGCGTACTCTTACATGTGGTCTATTTTTATCCAACCTAAGCCTTCTGTCTTTCTTTTCGTTCTTGACACTTTTCTAGTCTTCCTGATTTCCTATTTTTACCCTCAAGGACGAGAGCTTGTGATTCACAAAACGTATATAAAGGTGTCCTTCTACCTTTCGATATTCTTCAATTCCGCCCACCCTTGCATGCATGCCTTGTCACTTCGGCTACATTCTGCGTTGTCTTTTTGCGTTAAACTATCGTTCTTTCGCACTGACTCCTCTCCGGTGACGCCTTCATGTGTTTTTCTGCGTGGCTACAGCAGCATTCCGTGCTTTAAAGCACCCGAGCCGCTCATCGCACCACCCACGGTAAATGCACTGGATGATCATCCGAAATAGTGCACCTCAACTGCCCGTATCCGATCCAACTGATCCGTCTCAACATTACTTGTAAGTAAAGAACGCATCCCAAGCGACCATGCCGACTCACATAAATGCCAAGAACCCTCTCCTCGTCAAGCAACACGCCATCGAACGCATAACGCTCCTTTGACTCCGTAACCACATACGGCAAACAGGACGACACCTCCTCCGCAAACGCAAACGCAGGATCTATCGTCGTGCTCGACGTGCAGACCATCCTTCGATCCTCCTCTGTCATGTACGCCTTCACACCCTCCATCAGCGCGACGCGCACGCTGTGCGGATTGAAATCAAACACGTAATATTCTGACGGTGAGCTCGGCGCGTCCTCCATTATCGAGACGCACCGCTGTCCCGAGGTCGTCGTTATCCATCGCGTGGGGAGTCCATCTGCGGGCAACCACCGCGATATGTTTGGACCCCACTGACTCCATGGCACGGCCGTGGCTGGCGCGGATCGGAAAAGCTCGAGTAGGGCACTCCGGTGGATGAGAAAGGTAAATGTGTGTCCAAACTGCATCATGGCTAGGTGGTGCTGCATTCCCACCCGTGGCTGTACGCGCATATTGAATATGACAATGGCGTCGTTCGCCGAGGGGTGGAATGGGCGTGTGGACCTGTTCCCGCCCATGGGGCTAGGTTCCCCCCTACAGGAAATATTTGAAATCATCTCTCCTGGCACGAGCTGTGGAAGGGAGAGGACGCAGCGCGGGGACAGTGGCGCGATGCTGCCTGGCGACGACGGGATCTCCCAAAACTCAAGAGTGCCGTTCTGGGTGTTTGGAAAGACGACAACGGACTCGGAGAGAAATATAAGGCCTGAGTACGTGTGGTACTGAGCCACCAGCGACTGTTGTTACGGATGAGACGAGTGCGCTGAGGATGAAGACCGGAAACGCACCATTTTCAGCCTGCCAGTCTTCCACTCGTATATGAACACTCTGTCGTCCGGTCTCGATGGGTTGTTGTAATGGGCGAGGACCAGGACGAGGTTCTCACCGACGATCTCGATGCCAACGGCTGGTCGCTGCTCAAAGCGAGAGGTGGTGACGGAGATTCTGGGTTCTCGTGCAAGGGGGTGTGGTTCGCCCGTTGAGAACTTGAAGAAAACGAGACATATCTCGTACGTCTCTGGGTTTGATCCACATATCAGAGACCTATCAACTCATCAAAGCCAGGCTCGCGAGTAAGAAATAAAGGAGAAAAGACGGCAAAACTCACGTCGTGATGACGGCGAGCAAATCATGCTCGTACACAGACAAGCCCATGTCGATGATGCGGCGATCGACGCTGATTGTCCTCCAGACGCTCTTCTCCTCTGATGATGTGGGAAGTTCGACATAGTGCAGCTCTAATCGCGCGTAATTCCCGAGAAGATAAATGCCCCCTGTGAGATCATAGATTCCAGAAGGGCTGTGGGCGACCGGGATGGTCAGGGTGAACTTTGGCTCGAGTATCTTCCACGCCTCGCTGCCCTGTCTGAGCAAGGCCAGCCGTTCCGAGAGGCTCAATGGGCAATTTGGGTTGTCGTCAGCGCTGGCTGCGTGGAGTGCGCACTGATACTGGATGATTACTGAGCGCTGGATGATGTCGTGGAGGATCTTGCACGTTAACTGGCATGAAAGGAGATCTGGTGGATTTATGTGCAAACATATCCGGACGATGAGCTCTGTTGGTAAGTCGAGGATCTCCATCGGCGTCGTGATGGTTCGGAATGTGTCATGGGACTGAGTGACGGATCGCGCGTAAACAGATGATCGGTAACTTTCTATCTACTACTCTTTATCTAGTTAATAATATTCACCCTCGCAGCCCATCTTTATCATATACATAGTCCGCATAACGAGGAAGCCATATCCTTTCGTGTCCTCTTTCCCTCACTACGTTCGTCAATTGCTCCGACCCAAGGCCAACTGCCCAATCCACCTGGGCAACACCCTCCTTCACAGCCTGCTCAGCAACCGCAGCAGCAACCTCAAAATTGACCTCTGGAGCTTCTCCAAAGTCAGGCAAGAGCGCCTCGCCGTTATACTCGTATTCCTCCCCTTTCTCCTCAGCTCTGCGCGCAAGAGTGATGGCAGGCGACAGAGCAGCCAGACGACGTGCTCCTGCGATCAACATCGTGTCCGTCATCTGCCGTGATTGTGAGAGGATGGCGCCAAATCCCAGGCCAGGGTAGATGAGGGCGTTGTTGCACTCCGCGATCCTGAAATAATTCCATCAGATCTCCAAAGTCGTTTGGAAAGAGGGATAATCATTCACCTAAACTCTTTCTTCTTCCCATCAACCTCCAGATGAACACTATCAAAGGGACTCCCGGTAGCCACCAGAGCCCTACCCTTTGTCCAACGCATGATGTTCTCTGGGGTAGCTTCCACCAGCCTGCTAGGATTCGACAGCGGGGTGATGATGGGCCTCGCACCAGGATCCTCCGCCTGTAAAGCAGCCGCCATAGCCTTGACGACATCCTCCGTAAACGCCCCAGCAGCAGTCGAACACCCAATCAGAACGGTGGGTTTAACCCGCTTGACAACCTCCAGCAACCCGATCGTCTTCTCCCTCCCACCAACCACCAGTTCCTCCCAATACTCAGATTCAGGCCGGATGAACTCTCTTCTCTCCGCAGAGTCTGTCTGTGAGAGTAGAGCTGTACCGGAATCGAAGAGCAGCCCCTGACGATCGACCAACCAGAACCGTTGATTCGCCTCAGCTCGCGATACGCCGTCATCAGCTACCATCGCGTCGCGCAGCTGTACTGCAATTCCCATGCCTGCTGATCCAGCGCCGAGGATCACGTATCGCTGGTCAGAAAGCCGTTTTCCTTGCCCGCTTTTTGAGGAGCGGCTGGAGATACCGATGGCTGCGAGGATACAGGCGAGAGTGACAGCACCTGTTCCTTGGCTGGAGGAGGATTCGGGGGTCAGCGCTCGTAAAGGGAGGAAAGAGGGAGATGCGTACATATCGTCGTTGAACGCAGCGTGGGACTCCCGGTATCTGTCTAGGAGACGATGTGCGTTGGTCACTCCGAAGTCTTCAAAGTGGAGGAGGCTGTGAGGGTGACACTTTCGAACGAGTTGGACAAACCTGGGGAGGGCTGGTTGTTAGTGCCTGGAATGAAATGGTTTAACGGCAACGCACTTGTCAATGAAGTTATCATATTCTTCTCCACGGATGCGCTTGGATGGCCATCCCTTGATGGTGATTAGCAGCGGCGGACCTAGGTGAAGCGGACTACTCACCACGTAAAGAGGGTCGTTCAAGAGTTCCTCGTTATTTGTCCCAACGTCTAGAACCACGCTGACTGAGCGTGAAGGATCCAACCCACCCACGAGACTGTTTCATCATCAGTGGAGAGACAGATTCTAGTGGAGGGACCGACATACGTATACATGACAGATTTGGCCGTAGAAATCTGGAGAAGGAGTCAAAGACTCGCTCAAGACCCAGTAACGTAGCACTCACGCCTATTCCCTGGAGTGAAAGCCATCAGACAGATTACACGACTTATCGATGATCACTTACCCCAACGCCCTGATCTCCAATCCCAAGAATGGCTTCAGAGTCCGTGCAAACGAACAAATCAATGTCCCTCCCCTCCGTCTGTTCCAAGAAATCCTCCTCCATCCTCTCCTGAGAAGGGAACGTCAAATACAACCCCTCACTCCTCCGAAACAAATGCGAATAATTTGCGATGGCTTCCGCCTAACAGAAATCAGTAAAAAACCAGTCAACAAAATCCACCACCAGGCACTCACCTCCGTAGGGGTATAAATGACCGGAACGAGCTCCTTCAAGTGCCTCGCCAACAACGAATAATACAACGTCCAATTCTGGTCCTTCAGGCTCTGCAAGAACGTGTTCTTGCGTATCGCCGAATCACGGGAAGTGAGCTGTTCGTAGGCTCTCTCGCATTGCTCGTCGAGGGTATTGGTGCGATATGGGAGACGGCCGATCAATCCAAACGCTGTGCGCTCGTTGGCTGGGAACCCGGCGCCTTTGTTGAAGCGCGGGGAGGTTAGGAGGGAGTCTCCGCGTAGAGCGAGTTGGAGAGGGGGTTTGTTGGTGACTTGGGACATGGTGGTTGTGGAGGAGCACGGCAGGCTGCTGCGATGGGGTTGAGATAAGCTGCTTCGGGGTGATCAGATCTCATCTCGCGTTGATCGGGAATTCTGAGCGCTTTCGGGTGGGGAGGCGCTGTGGTAACGAATGATTGTGAGTTTTCTGCCTAGGAGCATAATTATGAGCTGGAGTTCAGAAAAGTCTGCCAGCGCACCAGGACGAAGTATGTCATAGAGGGGGTTGAGTGAGTGAGTTGCTCATGATATTTTCCATTCTGGCAATCCGAAATGGCTGTTGCAAGGAGTCATAGACATTCAATATAAGAGATTGAGGAGGAGTTGCGTGAAAGCAAGAAAAAAAACGTGGCAAGAATGGTCTCAAATTTGTTTATGTAAAGTTTCAGCGCAATTAGACCTCCGCCTCTGGATTCATAACCATCTACCAACATCTTTTTCAGGCGTCTGTTGAAACGAATCCTTCGTCAAATTTTGGGTTAGTATGATATTCTACAATTGCACATAAACTGACACTTTACCACATTCTCTGACACAACAGATGGAAAGTACCGCTAAAAACGGACGAGTTTGCTTCAACTTCTGGGATAGGATGAACCACCATTCAATGTAAGTTCGTCATGCTATTTGTATCTGATTCTCACTCCAGCAATCCAGGTAGAAATCCGAAAGGACTCTGCCGAGCCGGGTTCATATGGACCGTGAGGATACACATCCGAGTCGGCGCTTGGACCCTTTGACCCCCCAGTCGACTCCGAACGAACTTAGCGCCGACTTCTTTCAAGCGACTGCAAGGGCTTAGAGCAGGCGTGAGGATGCACCACGACTTCAGAATGAATTGCCATGATGACTCAGAAATAAAGTACGCCCATCTCGTCTTACCATCCATCATCATTTCAACATCGTCGACGGACGAAGAGTATGCTGAATTAAGAAGATAGGACAGCACTGAAACTGCGTCGAATTACCGAGGTCTCATCAAACGAGCATCGGAGAAGAGTGGCGCTTGGCTGGCTAAGCGGCGTCCTGCTCCACCTGGCGCGGTCCGGTCCAACCATTTGGCTATGTTGCGGAGGTGCAGTACACAGAAGAGCAGATGTCGCTCCGCCAGTGTTGACGAGGAATAGAAGGGGGGCGATCGCTGCTCCGATGGCTGACATGAAACAGTACTTTAAAGAAGTTCTCTTTCGATAAGTCAGCCACACGCCCGCCATCTTTTTGCTTTCCACCGTAATTATTTTCCCCTTCAGAAATAACGCCTGTCTGATCATATTTGTAGGGAACATTATCTCATAATGCCCAGAGCACACAACGTTCTTCCCATCATCTCGGCTAGCAAGCGTTCTTCCCGAGATCTAGAGTCGCGGCGGTGGTACAACAGTCGACTGCCGGTCTCTAAACTCTTTCCAGACCTCCTAGAACCCCTCTTCATTCTCGCCTCGATCGACCCCAATGAACACTGGACCTCATTCACCGCCCTATCCATCTCCCAAGTTTGCCATTCTTGGCGCTTCATCGCCCTCTCACTTCCAATCCTCTGGGCAAATCTCGTAGACTTTGAGGAGCGTTCGGAAACTTGGAACCTCGAGATGCTTCGAAGATCTGATACCTATGCAATCGATCTCAGCCGTAGAGACTTCGTTCCCCGGGCGGAGAACATCATTTCCAAAGAACTCGACCACCTTGCAAGGTTGCGCACCTACCGNGTCATGTTTGATTCGACGTCTCAGGAAACGCTGATCACCAAACTATCGAACGAGGCTCCGCAGCTTGTTCACCTCGATATCAGCTACAGCGGTACCTCGGTTGGTGGAAGACTGGAGTTCCCTTCATCGCTCCTCGGTGACGATGCACCCTTGCTGCGTCAATTGGAGTTAACAAGGTGCACCGTCGACCTCACTTCTCCAGTCCTCAGAAACCTCTCTACCCTCTCTATTCGCAACGTTGACACGGCGATTGCCCCTACTTTGTCGCAATGGATCGGCGCTCTGAGAAGGCTGCCTGAGCTGACAATCCTTTCGATTCAGGATTCCTTCTCTCCTCTTCCCCGATCCCTCGCCCATCCCTCCCCATCCAAGAGTCCCGTGGAGCTTCCGTACCTCTCTGAATTATATCTGGATGGCCATATCTCAAATGTAGCGCTTCTCCTCCGTGATCTCGCCTTCCCGATGCATTGCGGCATGATGCTATCCTGCACAGAAGCAGAACCTGGACCGCTCTTCGATATCGTACGAGAAGCATTTTCCCAGAGGATCAACCGGGCGCGGCCTCTCAACCACAACATCCATTCTTTGTTCATCTACGCGAAAGGGACCAGTCTATCGATCTCCAACGAACCAAACGAGTACGAAACGACGGGACGATTACCAGAAGAACCGAATCCTTACCTCTATCTCGACCTTCATTCCGCGTCCAGTCCAAACGGATGGGCCGAACTCCTTCCACCTCTCCTCTCCGCAATGGACGACACATTTTCCAAGGTCACCTCCCTCGAACTCGAACTCCCAGCCATCCCCCCCGCATTGATGCTCAGTCTTTCAAAAGCGATCCGGTTAACGACTTTGATGAATCTATCAGGAGCCATGTCCAAAAAACTACTCGCCGTTCTCCAGAAACCGTATCCTTTGCCATTGAACGGAGGAATCGAGATCGTCCCGACCTTTCTCCTACCAGCTCTACACACCATCCTATTCACTGAGGACAGCTCAATGTGGGGCCCCGCTTATCGAGTCTTCCAGTCGTTTTTGCGCTGGCGGAGAAATGGGGATGCCCCTCTCAAGAGAATTGTTTTTCGTAAATGTTCGGTTTTGCGAGATACGATGGAAAGCTTGGAGTGGGATGGCGTAGAGGTAGATTATGATCCCGAGGGGGTAAGATGGCAAACGTTGTAGTAGCGAATGATGAGAATAAAAGCTGGAAATAGGTACAAAAAGCATAAATTGAGAATATTTTGTTGGCCAATGAATGGTCCTGAACACTTCTTGGTCAAAATTGCGGAACTCAACAAAATAAAACAATGATGAGAGTGGGATTCGAACCCACGCCCCGGAGGACCAGATATATCGGACATCAAATGTCCTGGTCCTTAGTCTGGCGCCTTAGACCGCTCGGCCATCTCACCACGGATATTGTTGACTACCTTTTCATCTTAGCAAGTTATTGCATTGCCCTGATCCCATTGTCGAAGAAACAGTCGAACTAATCAAGCAACGATTGGTGAGGTTCGTAATCGCTTTACTTTTTTTTAAAATCCTCAGACCGGAGAGATGACGTTTTTTCTGAGCGAATTTGTTGCAGATGACAACATTTCCTAATTTTCTCCAAATTTTCTGTGTCCCAAGCCAAACTTACGGTATTCATTGAGTCATCGTGGCGCCTTTTGACGTTTTTCCGTTCGTATATATTCTCGGAGCCTCAGAAAATTACACGCACGCAAGGCGACTTCATCGGACTACTACTTATCATGAACAAAGCTTCCAGTAGCCTAGGTGCATTACAATTTTTTTCAAATTGTCAACTCTTCGAGATCCCTCAGAAAGTTGAAGGCGTTTTCAAGATTATTGAATTTCTGATGTGTAGATGCTAACTTACCAGCCGAGACTTCCCCTCTATTTTCCAAGAAACATCACTGGTGGCTAAATTTACAACAATCTTGGTCCATACTACATCCTGAAATAATGAAGCTCTCCGCTGGTTGCCGATCGCGCGCCGGGTGTGGTTCTTGCGTCGCCCCCTTCCCCGATGGACGAGGCTTCCAACTCAGAAAACATTTATTCAAACGCAAAGGCGAGCAGTAGCAAGGCAGCCGTCGCCTCGAGCTCAAAAGTTCAACTACTTATCCTTAATCAATAATGGGAGTGTCGCCAGAGATCATCTGGCCTCTGAGCGCACCTTTCTCGCCTACGTCAGAACGAGTTTAGGAATCGCACCCTCGGGTATTGGTACGTCTTGTAATTTATCAAACGAATTGGGTCTGATCGCAGGAAAATTTATGGTGTAGCGCTCATGCAGTTCTTCAATCTTGGAACAAAAGTTAGGAGGTTCTCTCAGCCGCTTGGAGCCATAACGATAGCAATGGCGTTCGCTGTCCTTGTTCTCGGTAATTCCACCACTCCACTTGAACTACGAGATGCTCATCTCAAGTTTGTGGTGCAACTCACAGGTATCCGACGATATTTTTCCATCCAGAAGGAATTGCCTCACGGACGCTTCCCCGTTTCGAAAGTGGGAATTGCGCTCATGTCCTTCATGCTTGGTTCCCTCATAACAGCGACTTTCGGCATGTTAGTAACAGATCGAGTAAGAAGCAAGTAGATGTCTGTTTATCTGTGTAATATGAAAGTTATCGAGTCGTTGGTTATATCTGTAACGCTTCAGGACAGATTTCTTACGTCGGGTACAAGAACAAAAAAATTCTGCAATTTTGAAATGACTACAATGAAAGTGACCAAGAGATTATGATTGAAGCCATCGCTGATTATTGGATGAACAAAAACTTGAAGATGGGGCGCAAGGCGAGAAAACCCGTCATAAGTTATCTTTCACTGAGGCCCAACCACCGCAAACGCAAACGCATTTTGACGCATAAACTCGGAATCCTTGATCAATTGTTCAATATCATGGGAAGATCTCCTTCGGAGGTCTCTGCGGGCACACCTACAAGTCGTAACCTTCACCAAATATGGCTGGACAAGGGGAAAACCGGGGTTCTTTCAATTCTTCATATCCCCCTAACAGAAAGAAGGGAAATCAGTGGATTGGATAGAGGTCATATACACAAAAAGAACATTGTACAACGCGGCTCAAAATTTAAATATACTCAACGGATATCTGTCCCAGAGAGACTCGAACTCTCGATCTTCCGATCACGCATTTCGCTAACAGTCGGACGCCGTAACCAACTAAGCCATGGGACAAGCTGCAGAGATGTCGCATTGATTGGTGATAGGATGCTGTCGATCCGTCCTGTTTTATTGATGCTCGGATTGCAAGGGTCGATCTTTTGACGCTTGATTGAATACGCGTCACATTACCGCAAATTTTAATTTTACAAAGTAAACTAGCGGCGAACGGAATTATTCAAAGACCACCCTTGAAAATTTGTCGTGTTCTCTTGTCGAGGAGTTGAGTTGTCAGACTCTGAAGACGTTGTGAACACCTCAGAATTCAGGGAGCGTACGGATCCAGCATCTGCCAGGGTAATATCTAACGATGGTCGCGTGGAAGCGGGGTTTTGGATTTGGAGAGTCGGCATCCCCCTCATCGCGGGCTGTTGAAGCGTATTATTCGCCACCACCACGGCCTGTGCCCGGGCAAGCGTGGTTGCATGCACATAGCCATCCCACCAGATAACTACGCAGCTAACGAGTAGAAAAAGTGCCGCGAGCTCGACTAGAATGCGTCAATTTCAAAGGAAAGATCGACATTCTAAAAAGACGGACGTGGGATAGATACG